TTAAACAGAGTGAAAAGGCAACCCATGGAAAGGGAAAATATTTTCAAATCATATCTCTGATGAGAGATTGGTATATACCATATATAAATAATTCTTACAACCTAACAACAGCAGAACAAACAACCCAATTAAAAAATGAGCAATAGGCTTGAAAAGACATTTCTTTAAGGAAGATATAGAAATGGTCAATAAGCACATGGAAAGATGTTTAATATCATTAGAGGTTAGGAAAATGCAAGTCAACACTATAATAAATTACCACTTTACACCACCACTTTACACTAAATTACCACTTTACAGCACTATAATAAATTACCACTTTACACTAGGATGACTACTATCAGAAAAAAAAGAGGAAGAAAAGAAGACAAAGAAAATACAAGTATTAGCAAGAATACATTGCAAGTGGAAGTGTAAGATGGTGTTCAGTCCCTGTGGAAAATGGCATGGAAATTCCTCGAAAAATTAAATGTAGTTACCACATGATTCAGAAATTCTACTTCTGGATATATACAAAAAAGAAGTGAAAGCAGAGACTTGTACAGATATTTGTATACACACGTTCATAGCAACATTATTCACAATAGCCAAACGGTGGATGCAACCCAAGTCACCATCAATAGATGAATGGATAAAGAAAATGTGGTACATACATACAATGAAATATTATTTAGCCTCAAAAAGGAAATAAATTATTACATGTTACAACATGGATGAGCCATGAAAACATTATGCTAAGTGAAAGTAACCATTCACAAAAGAATAAATACTGTATGATTCTCCTTACACCAGGCACCTAGAGAAGTCACGTTTATAGAGACAGAAAGTGGAATGGTGGCTGTTAGGGGCTGAGCAGGAGGAGGGCATTGAGAGTTACTGTTTCATGTGTACGGAGTTTCAGTTGGGGAAGATGAAAAAGCTCTGGAGATGAATGGTAGTGATGGTTGCACAACAATGTAAATATGCTTGATGCCACAGAACTGTACATATTAAATGGTAAATTTTATGTCATGTGTGTTTTATATTTTTCCACAATAAAACAAAAGAAAAGAAAAAAAGCTGACAATGTAATTGTCTACCTAGAAAACCCTAAAGACTACTACAAAATCTCATAGAACTGATAAAAGAATTCAGCAAAGTTTCTTGATACAAAATTAATGTACACAAATCAGTAGCTCTCCTATACACCACCAGTAACCAAGCTGAGAATCAAATCAAGATGTCAACTCCTTTTACAATAGCTGCAGAAAAAAGTAATAATACTTAAGAATATACCTAACCACGGAGGTGAAAGACCTTTACACGGAAAACTACAAAACACTGCTGAAAGAAATCATAGATGACACAAACAAATGGAAACACATCCCATGCTCATGGATGGGTAGAATCAATATTGTGAAAACGTCCATACTGCCAAAAAAACCTCTACAAATTCAATGCAATTCCTATCAAAATACCACCATCGTTCTTCACAGAACTAGAAAAAAAAAAAATCCTAAAATTCATATGGAACCCAAAAGGAGCCCGCATGGCCAAAGCAAGGCTAAACCAAATTGGCTATTTTGGAGTATAGCTAAAATCATGTAGTGGGTACTATGCTAAGCTGTTCAGAGTCCCCCTTCAGGGCTGGAGGGCTTACTCCAGATGCTGGGGATGCCCTCCTTCAGCTGAAACGAATCACCTTTCACAAGGCCAGGTTACATTCTTGGGGTGGCCTGAATTTGGTGATTGGTCAATGTGAGGATATTGTAACTATTTTCAGGGTTCTCAAGGTGGGGCTGAGGCTTTGTGGTGCCTGCCCGGAGGCCCAGTTTCCTCTTCTTTATTAGTAACCTGTTTATTTCCCTTCCCACACAGATGTTGATCCTGAAAGTAATTCCTAACAAACTTTCTGCACAATATAAAAAAGGAAAATGAAAACAGCACCTCTTCCTTGATGCTTTACTTCCACTGATGCCAGAAAATATCATCGTAACAACCGTATAAATATATGATGGGTGGGATTTGCAAAACACCCCTTGAAGCTGTGCAGTGCACAACCCGCACAAAGGAGCAGGGGTTCTATGTCAACCTCTGTCTCGTTTCTCCCGCGTTTGGAAGTCCCCAGCACCACTGTGCTGGATTGACTGATGAGTGCTCGCTAGTCCTTAACCAGTGCCTGAGCCAGCCTTGAACAGGGAGGAAGCATATCAGTTGCCCCAGCCCTGCCATGCATTGGAGTTTATAAGTAATTTCTCATGTCAACCAGATTTGGAAGATGAGAAGTTAAGAGTGAGCTGGGAGGGTTCCCAAGAGACTTTCACTCTTTAACTCTGTGGGCTCAAGTTTACCTCCTGGTCCTTATGCTTTCCTGGCTCGTGCTCAGCTCTTTGGATAAGCCAGAGAAAAAAACAGATTAAGTTGGACTTTCTCAAAATTTAAAACGTTACTGTATGGAGAAAACACTGTAAACAGAGTGAAAAGACAACCCATGGAATAGGAAAATATTTTCAAATCATGTATCTGATGAGAGATTGGTATCTACCACATATAAAGAATTCCTATGACTTAACAATAACAGAACAAGAAACCCAATAAAAATAAAAAAATGGGCAGAAGATTTTCAGCTTCTATTAGCCTCAGGTCTTAAGTTGGCTTAAGACCTGTCTCTTGTGTTGGTCTTAAGATGCTGTGTTTCTCAGACTCTGTTTTGCCTGTATCGATAGTGAAATAAACTTCTTAGGGTATCTGTGAGTCCTAGGATCACACCTGGGGTCCCCACTGTCAACAACAACAGGAAAGAAGACCTAAATTAGGGCACTTTATTCCAAGTTCATTTTTCAAGTTGTATAAGTCAAGCTGTTGCATAAGGCCTTGGTGGTGCTGAGCAAGAGTTAACACCAATTTAATTTACTTTATAACCTGATAATAAAGTCCTCACGTTAAAAGAGAAGAAAAGAAAACCCTCTTCTAAGCCTCCTTCTCTCACAAGCTTGCCTCCCTGTCATTATCCCACTACTCTTTCAACATCACACTGCTAGAGAGTGTCCACACCCCCGGCTTCTCTCTCCTCCCCTCCCTTTCATTCCTGGGACCATGATGTCTCCCTTCCCCTCCATTCCATGAATACTGTTCCCCCAGGGGCCACTAAGGACTTTCCAATGGTCGAATTCAGGAAATTCTTTTAAATCTTCCTCTTTTTTGACCACCTCAAAGCTTGCTTCTTTAGGTTTTGTGACACTGTCATATTTCAATTTCCTTTCTAGCTGTCTGGTTTTCAGTATTTCATTGGTAAGTCCTTCTGCCTGTATCTTAAACACTGATGCTCTCTGGGCCCTCTGTCTGTCTTCTACACATTTCCACTTGGATGTCTCTGAAACATCTCAGACTTAGTATGTGCAGAGCTGACATCATTGCTTCTTTGCTTATCACCTGGTCTGAATCTGCCCCTCTTCTTCTGCTCCCTGTCAATGTTACCAGCAACTATTCAATCGCCTACAATGGACCCTTAGCAGTCATCACTTTCTCGAGATCTCTGTCATGTACACCCATATAGATCCACTAAACAAAATGGTAATCCCTCTCCGCCCCAGAATTCTTATCTCTCATTATTGCTTTCCTTAGCACTTATCACCACCTGTACACTACTAGATGTTTAATGATTTATTCTCTGTCTTCCCCCATAAGAAGGAAAGCCCATGTGGGCAAAGGCTCTACTTTGTCCCGGGCTACATCCCCGGTGTCTAGAGCAGTGCCAGGCACTTAGTAGAGACTCCATAAACATTTGTTGAATGAATGAAAGGAACCTGGATTTCTTCCTGTGCCTCATACTTCCATCTTCACACAATTCCCAAGTCTAGCTGTTCTTATCTTATCTTGGAATTGCAAATCTGGGCCCCTCTTTGCTTCTTTTCCCACTGTCGCTTTTTTTTTTTTTTTTTTTTTGAGACAGAGTCTCGCTTTATCACCCAGGCTGGAGCGCAGCGGCATGATCTTGGCTCACCGTAACCTCTGCCTCCTGGATTCAAGCAATTCTCCTGCCTCAGCCTCCCAAGTAGCTGGGATTACAGGCACGTGCCACCAGGCCCGGCTAATTTTTTTGTATTTTTAGCAGAGACAAGGGTTCACCATATTGGCCAGGCTGGTCTTGAACTCCTGACCTTGTGATCCACCCACCTCGACCTCCTAAAGTGCTGGGATTACAGGCATGAGCCACCGCGCCCGGCCACCCCACTGTCGCTTTCTTAATTAGGCCTTGTCACCCCATTCAGAGTTATCATGGCCTCCTTGCTGTGGCTGTCTTCTTAGACCTTTCTCTGCTTCCTCTCTAAATAATTTTCTCTCCAACGCACAGTCTGGAGTCTCCTTCCTCTGCCTCAATCCCATGGATGTTCACTTTGTAGATGCTCATTAATGTGTGCCTGACAGCCCTGGCCTCTCTCTGGGGAGAGAGGTCCAGTGAGAGTCACAGTTTTGTCCCATTTTAAAATGAGGATCAGGGAGGGATTGAACGCAATACAGAGCTTACAGATGTAGGCACTGACCAGCAGAGATACACAGAATTGGAGACAAGTGACACAACCTGTTAAAAGAACTTGGGAGAGAAACCGGGAGTGTGGACTGGAATGACTGGGGCAGCATTCTAGAATGAATCATTACAACAGAGATCAACGACCACATGGGGTAGGGCTAGGGAGGGGCTGGAGAGAGAGAGGGGAAGAAAAAGAAATTCAGTCATGCTGAAGTGAGATTGGATTTCCACACTTGTCTACACTGAAAAGCTAAAAATAGGGACATCTGGGGAGAAAAATAGTGAGGAGTCTTTTAATTCTACTGACATGGACTATAAGGAGGGAGGTTTGCAGGGAAGGATGTGTCTCTCACTCTTAGGGGCAAAACTGGAAAAATTTTTATTTTGGGGGCCCCAACCTTCACTCTCTCCACTCCATCCCCTGCCTGTTCTCTCTATCTTTCCTCACTATCAAAACCTCTTTTTAAAGGAAAGAGTCTGATAACATTCATTTACATAAATCTGTAATATTTAATGTGGTGATTTTAGATGTTAGAAGCAGAAGTCTGAAATTAAAGACACGTAAGTACAGCAACCATTAAAAAAAGACGTATATAATTCACTGCATCCAGCACAGGGCTAAACCCAGTGGTTGCTCCACAAATATTTGTTGAAAGATGTTCAAAAAAGCATTATTTATATTATCAAACTCCACAAACAATACAAGTATCCAAAAATGGGGAAACCATTGCAAAATCATCCATATGAAGAAATATTACATAGCTATAAAAATATCTAGAAAAGCTTTTTAATGATCCAGAGGAATAAATGCTTATACTAATGTTAGGCAAAAATAGCAGGATTCGAATTGCTACTATAATATGTCAATTATAAAAATCATATGCACATACAGAAGACAAAATCTATGAGTATCTCTGGAATCCGTGGGATTTGGGGTTATTTTTAGTTCTACTTTTCTGTATTTTTGAATTGTTTATACTTGGTATGAAAGAAATAGCCCAAAGTAAACGTTGTGGAAGATTTACTTGGGGGAAGAAACACTTATCAGGGGTCCCCGCTAATTACACTGTACTGGTGTGGCCCACTTGGTCTATTATAGAGGAGGAAAGCGGGGAAGAGATAGGGCCTGTCCAGTAAGGGAGGATGGATGGTCTGCCAGCAGAGGATGGACTTTTAAAAACTGCTACAGGGGCTGGGCGCGGTAGCTCACGCCTGTAATCACAGCACTTTAGGAGGCTGAGGCGGGCAGATAATGAGATCAGGAGTTCGAGACAAGCCTGACCAACATGGTGAAACACTGCCTCTACTAAAAATACAAAAATTAGCTGGATGTGATGGCGCCCGCCTGTAGTCCCAGCTACTCAGGAGGCTGAGGCAGGAGAATGGCTTGAACCGGAACGGAAGTTACAGTGAGCAGAGATGGCGCCACTGCACTCCATCCTGGGCGAGAGAGCGAGGCTCCGTTTCAAAAAAACAAAACAAAAACAAAACAAAACAAAACAAAAAACAAAAAATCTGCTACAGGAGTGGGGAGGCCGACCTTTGAAGAAAAAGGGCGTACCCGGTAATATTAGTGCTTTAGTGCCTTTGAACTTATGCAGACTTCCTCTGTTAGAGGGTTTCTGTGTTCTAGGCTAATAGGTTAACCTGACATCTAGAACACCTTCCTCACATTAGTTCCTTACACACCCAAGCCTTCAGGTGCTGAGACGTGTTTCTTTTCACCCTGCTCTCTCCACCCCCTACTTTTGAAAACACAGCTGGAATTTTAATTAAAGCCTATTGTGTTGGTACCTCAGTAGTGTTGGTACCTCAGTAATATTCTACATTAATATCTTTAAGAATTAAGGTCATGTCCCCATGTAAGAAAATATTATTTAATGTTGCTTCTATATCATAATATCTATATAAAAGCCCTGGCTGTTTTAATAAAGAGACCACAGATTTCAGAATTTATATAAACAGGAAAACATTTTCTTTGGGTTATTTCTGGAAATCCCTTCCAAACATCTGAGTTTTCTTCTAACTCAAGTCTCTTCCCACCTCCTTCCCAGGGGATCTGCTGAAGGGTGTTGTATGTCTCCCTGTGGGACAGCAAACTTCACAGTCAGGATAAAACAAACAAACAAACAATATCAAAACAACACCCAGCAACGGCAACCCCCATCCCTCTCCAAAGTTCTAATTTCCCGCACTTAAAATTAAGTCCTGGGCTATCCTTGTGTTGCAAGAATCTTAGAATCGAAATGGAGGGATTTGATAACTTTAAATCTAAAATTTTCTTCTATTATTTACTAGTTATCAAAATATGCAAACTGCTGATTAAGGAAGGCTGGGTGGCAGGAGCGCCTGCGAAGGCGTAGGGGAGAAGTGTGAAAAGAAATCCCAGCTCTCCCTGGGAGACTGCGTGTGAAAGAGCCCGGCTCCCCCGAAAGCTCCAGTCCGCGTTTTGCAGGCTTCCGCATCTGCCTTCCCTGTCTCTCTTACCTCCTTGATGTTCGGCACTATTTGTGGCCGGCGTGGTGGAAGGACACAGTGAGGTTCTCACCCCCGCCCCCCCACCGCTCCTCGCTCCCATCCCAGTTCCATCAAAACGAACCCGGGCCAGCGCAAGGATCTCCGAGTTGCGAGTGTGCTGAGGCTGGGACTGTCACTCATTCTCCGATCAGCGCGTGAACGCAGCTCGGCTGCCGCTGGCAGGAAACAATTCTGCAAAAATAATCATACTCAGCCTGGCAATTGTCTGCCCCTAAGTCTGTCGCTCTGCCGCCGTCCACACTCGCTGCAAGGGAGGGGGCACAGAATTTACCGCGGCAAGAACATCCCTCCCAGCCAGCAGATTACAATGCTGCAAACTAAGGATCTCATCTGGACTTTGTTTTTCCTGGGAACGGCAGGTACATTTTTTTTTTAATTCTCAATCTGGTTTGCTAATTACCCCTTCCTCCTACTCCTAGGAGGAACGCTATTATTTTGGGTGGTTTTACGTGGACTGCTAAGGCTGGTCATTTGCGTTTAGCTGTGAAAGGAGCGCGTCGCCCTTGCTGCCCAGCCGAACCCCGCTCCCTCCCGGGCTGCGCTGCACGGGAGCTGCCTACCCGCGCCGCCAGCGCCCGGCGCCCCTCTGGCGCGTCCGCCCTTCCCACTTTGTGCGCCTGCGGCGGTGGGAGCAGAGCCGGTCGGCTCCTGGGGGCTCAGCGGCCGCGCTGGTGATGGGCAGCGCTCCTTCCCCAAAGGCGGGCGGCGGGGCGGGGGACGTCGCGGCTCGGGTGGTGCCGCTGCACGGGCTCAGATTCTGAGGGGGAAGGGGCTTGTCAGCCCCGGCTCCGGGAAGAGTTAACAATAAGGCTAGGGCAGCCGCCCCAGATCGTTATATCCCCGGGTCTAATAAAGTCAGGATCGCTGCTTTACCTCCCCCGCCCCAGCCGAATAACGGTTTGCAAAATAGGGCGAAATGGGCAGAATAGCAGGGCTATGTGGCCGTTGTTGCACCCCAGTCGATATGACGTTAGTTTTTCATTTGCCAAATTGCTGGTTAGTTGCAAAGCCTACCCTCGGCCGCGAGCACTGAAGGATGGGAGGGTCGAGCGCCGCGTTTTGACAGGAGGAAGTGCGGAGGGGCGGAGGGCGAGGAGGGCGTGATCGGGTCTGCCTGGTGTGTGCGCGCGTGTGTGCGCGCGTGTGCCTTTACACGCGCCGCGTGCCCAGTGTTGCACAGGGCGGGAGAAGAATGGCAGGTAGCCGCCCGAAACACCTCGCCCTGTCTCCTTTCTTTGGGCGAGGTTCTGGATCCTGGCAAAGTGTGAACAATAGGGAGCTGGGAGGAAGACAGTAGTGATGCTGCCGCGGGTGGCGGGGGTTGCGCCGCCGCCCAGAGAACCTCGGCAGCGGGGAGGGAGGTGCATTTCATTTTGGCTATTTCCATCCCCGGCCTCCCTGGAAAATTCTTCTGTGCGTGCCCACCCTCCCCTCCAGCTGTCATCCCCCCACCTCCACCCAAGGATTTGCGCTTTGGCTCTGATGGACGGGAGGGGAGGAAGAAAAGCAGGGGCCGCAGAGAGCTGGGTGGGTTGGGCGGACATTCTGGGCGGGGGGGCGTGTGCTGGGAAGCGACTGAGGAAAGCCGGGCGGAGGGGCTGTGTGTCGAGGTTGCCGCTGCCAGGTGCCGTTGTACCTTCTCTGGACTGCCGAGCCCGGGTTGGGGAGCGCACGGGGCGGGTTGGGGAGCGCACGGGGCGGGCTGGGGAGCGCAAGGGGCGGGTCAGGCAGCACCCAGTGAGCCCCCTTCGCGGGCGGCACAGGAGCAGCGCTCGGCCGCCGCCTCCAGCCAACTCGGCTCCCTCCCATGGCGACCAATCAGCGCGAGGCTGGCTGGGCGGGAAGCCGCGAGAGGCTTTTATTGCGGCGCGGATGGCGGCCAGGAGCTGCCAGGACAGTCTCCCGGTGCTCCAGCCTAACGGTCTCGCTCAGTCACCGCCGGGAGAAACCCCGCCCTGCGGCCGGTCCCCAGCCTGCCCGGCAGTTTCTGAGGAAATAAAATGGAGACTAGGTGGTCACCTGGAGTGCTCCTGGTCCGGCCGCCCGTGCTCGCCCACTCTCGCCTCTTTCTTGCGGACTTGGAGCATCCCACCGCCCCCGCCAGCGCTCACTCTCGCGCCGCGGAATCCGAGCCTGAGCGCGTCGCCGGGGAGGGCACCCTGGCAGGCACACCGACGCGCGTGCGCTGACCGGCCGGCCGCGGGCCGGGGGCGCTACTGGCGGCGGGGCGGGGCTGTGGTAGGGCCCAGAGGGGTGGGGACCAAGCCTAGTCTGCCTGGCGCTGGGTCTCCGCTGCCACCTGGGCGGGGGCCACCCCGGCTATGCCCCTTTCCGCGGTCCCGTGGGTGCTGCGACGCGACCTGTCCGCACTGAGGGGGGTGGGGGGAGGCGGTGTTTTTGAGACCTCCTCGCTCCCAGGTGGGAGCGTGACAATGGAACCCGGATCTTTGGTGGGCCTTTTGGGGGATCGCCTGGCGGTCCTTTCCATCATCGTGATGGGTACAGTCATCAGTATTTGGATCCCGTGGAAGTTGCAGGCCCAGGAATTCCCACTGGGATATTCGTGGAGGCCCAGGCAGGGGAGGCATTCTGACCAGTGTTCCCTGGAATGAAAGCGACCTCTTTCCTGGCCTGGTACCTTTAGAATGGGAAGAAGGCAGAACGTGAAACACATACAAGGTTGCTTAACAAAAGAAAGAAGTCGAATGGTTTTCTAAAGAGAAATAATTTCCCATTAAAATGTCTTTTGTACCATATATTTAAAAAAAAATCAAAGAATTCAAGTCAAAGGGTCAGAATGAAAATGAAAATATAACACACAAGTATATATACATATGTATATATATCTGAGGATTTTTTTTTTTTTTTGGACTCAAATGTAGCATGTCCAGGGCAGTGGTAACTGAGTTTATGTGCTCCGCTCTGTGCATATGAAAATTTACATATAAGGCAAGCTAACGTTAATATATCAAGTGAGTGCGATGGGATGCCCCCTCCTCTTTTGATGTCCTCTGCTCTTTAGAAATGCAATGAAAGGTTGTGCAATTGCATAGTACATTTGAGTTTACTCTAGTATAAATTTTGGATGTTTTGAAGAATTGTTTGCTTGAACGATCTGGGATGGTTAAATCACATGTTTACTTGATAATTTTAGTCTTGTGTCAGTTAAACTTGCAAGAGTCAAGGAATGGATAGGACTGGGTTTCTAACAAGATAACACCGGTTAAGAACAAAGAGCTACTTTACAAAAGCTAACATTGAAATCAAGTAGTATACATAATATCTCTGACTAAGCAAATTAAGGTGCGCTTCCACAAAGTTTACTATGAGCACAGTTATAGTGAGCCATATATTTTTGTTGATTTTCATTTTAAGATTGAGAATGTGTGTTTTTAAACAGAATTTCACTGAGTGTAATAAAAGCTGTATAAGAATGTGGAAAACCTTTCATAACTCTAACCAAACCCTAGAAAGATTATTTTCTTTCAATAAATACTAGCATATTTAAAAATATTAATAACTGATAATTTGTTTAAAATCCAACAGAGTTATTAAAAACAGGGAATATAATCCAGACATTGTAGACATGTGGGCTGTGATTTATGTAAGTTTTTGAGTTACTATTCCCTCTATAAAGGTCTTAAAGATCTGCTAACCTAGCTAAGCTTTCATTACTCTCAAATTGTTTGCCTAAGCTAATTCTTTATGAACTCCTTCCTTCTTTCCCTAAATTATCGAACCTGATAACTGCCTTCCAAATACCTTTATCTAAGATTTTTTTTTAAAAAATTGGAATATCAGAAAATAGCAGGACACATTCTTGTTTAGTAAAGGAGGTTCCTGTAAGTCTTACTATAATAATTTATTAAACTAAGAATATGTTGATTTAACTGGTGACTGGTTTCTTGAGTTTGATAGTTCAAGAATTAAGATAGTAATTGCAAAGAAAAACAATCCCACATCAAAACTTAAAAAAAAAAAAATGGTGTGGGTGTGCTATTTGTAAGGGATGTGGGTGTTTACTGAAGGCAGCAATAAGGAGAAATTAGTCTGTAGCACCCCCAAATTTCAAGTTTTGAACAGTGCTTCTGTTTGGAATCCGTTTATCATTAATTGAATTCCTCAGATAGGTAATATGTAATTTAACGGAAGTAACCTATATCTGTATTTTCTGTTACAAGGAACAATGTCTTAATTGCCTTTCAAAATAAACAGCACCGTTTTGTCACTCAAAAGCTAATCTTTAGACATGTGTTTGTTCACTACAGAACCCAGTTTCTCAAATTATAGAGAGCATTTTGTAAACTTTACACTGCTTAAAATATGGACTCTGGAATTTCTGATGCGACCACTTAATTTTTCAAGGCGACGAAGCCTCTGTTAAGTATGAGTTTGATAAATTTCTCATATTTTTGTCTTTAGTATTAAGGAACTGTGGCTGCTGTCCAGACTGAAAGTGGCTTCAATACTACTGGCAGACTTCCAAAGACATTTTACAGACAGTCCTTTCTGACTTAGTGTAAAATAAATGATTGAGTACCTGTTGCTAAAGAACGGGTTGCACTTTCCCTTAGGATCTTGAGCTTGTGATGGAGAGCAGAACCAATTGGCAGGCTGGGGAGAGAAGGGATCCCACCTGCCCCCATCAGTCTGCAGGAAGAGTCATAGACTGGGAGGAGACAAAGACATTTTATAAAGGCTCTCCTGTACCAGTTCAGCATTGTGTTTTTGAGCACACACATGTTTTCTGGTGTCAAGATAAATATTTTAATGTAAATTCCATAATTGATCATTTTTCAGTTTAGCAGTTGTAACATAGAGACTAAGGAACGTCTGGAACTTTAAAAGAAATGACATCACATTACAGGGAGCATTTTACTAATCTTAAAACTGGGTTACAAACTACACAAAATTGAAAACATTAATCACGTGGCTGCGTAAAATGAGGTCATTTGAGCTTTTAATAAAAATCTCTAAGGTGAACATTCCTTTGGTTAAAAAGAAAGAATTCTAAGTAAAATTCGGAAGAAGAAAATTTGATACGTTTCATAATATATTCAATGCCTCTGAGCAATACTGTAAGAGATGGCCTCTTAGGAAGGAGGAAATGTCCGAGACCTCTCTGAATCCTAATGATTAGGTTTCTATGAGCTCCAAAGTTTTTACTATTTGAAAACATTGTAGTGAAACTATTTTTACCAATACGGGTAGATATGCTTACTACTTACGGTAGGATAATAGAATACAGAAGTCAATCTGAAGGTCATAGTCCTGTTACCTCTAGCCTCTTTTGTTATTAACTCTTGGGGTCAAACCTTAAAACCATTTGCTGATGTAAAGGGATGTAAATTATTTGGCATTGGCAGTGGTGCCATTATGCCCTTTCATTTCATGTTGTTGAAATACTGTCTCTCAGCTGCAGATGCTCATTAGGAGCATTGCCTTTTGATGTTGGTCTGGGTGCCAAATGGCGTCCTTTCAGGCAGTTTCAATACATTACATTTAAAACGTTCTCAGGCCGTGTCTACATCCAGCCACTGAGTTAACGGATTTTCAGTTGGGTAGACACACTTTTCCTTTCCTGCAGTATTAATTTAGCTTCTAAGCAATCGGAGACTCCAAGAGGACTGCACTAAAAGGATAGGCCATTTGGTATATCTTGTGTATGTGTGCTTTTGAAAAACAGATTGTAATAAACTCATTATGCATTCTTTTTTCTTCCAAATATATGTAACATTTTCTTGAATTCAAAGATTGCATGGCTGATATGATTTAAAAGGCTTCTGTGTTACCTATGTTCCACTTTGTACTCTGAGGACTTCTTGATTTGTAGCTGCAAACCCCGGTAACAGCTGATCTTCTGTTTTCTATTTGGCGTCATTCCTGAGATAAGGTGTAAAATGCCTTTTGTTGTACATTAATCTCCTCCTTTGATATCTGATTACCTCATCATTTAGGAATATTCGTAGTAATGTCACAGTATTTGAGATTGTGTTACATTAGGTATTCTCTTCAATAGTTGATCAAATATGTTTATTGAGTGCCAGCTTTTTATCTTCTGCTCTGTGGGGAATTAAAAGGAGTGAGATGACATAATTTCTGCTGTCAGGGAACCTTGGGAGTAGTAGAGACTAGAGATTAAGAGAGGTAGATAACCCTGGATTGAAACCCCAGACATATCCCTTACCAGCTGTCTGATCTTGGACAAATGATTTAACTCGTCCAAGTTTCAGTTTCCTCTTCCGTGAGATTGGAAAATTAGTAATGCCTACTTGTTAGAGTTATAAATATTTTAGAGATCTTAGGAATTCTGTGCATGTAAACAGTGTTCATTAATGAGGAAGAGGGATATATATGGATCTGGAAAAAAATAATTATTTAGACATAGTGCCCTCCTTTTAGAAGGATTTTAAAAAGAATTTTATGAAAACATGACTCCCTCAGAGATTAGAACTAGGCTTAAAAAGTTGGTCACTAAATATGCCTGCAATTCCATGTTGGTTTTGAATACTTCAGAGAAAAAATAGCCTGATTATAAGGTTGAAAACTGTCTGCACAAGGGTGGATCTAGGTTTTGTGGGGCCTGAAGGGTATACAATTTTGAGGGCCTTCTTTAAGGAAAATACAAAACTCTCTTGCTTTTGCAAAGTTTAGTTGAATACATGACCATGAGAACACATTGCCAAGTCCTGGTCCCCCAGAGCCTTGGAAGGAGTCCATGCAATTGAGGAACCCTGAAAACTTCTGGCCCTGCTTTAGCAACTATCCTTTGGTCCACTTGGACTCATTGCTTGGGAATATAAACTAATTGTTCCAGTTTATTAAACGTGGACCTCATAGAGTTTGTTTGTGTAGTGCTTTGAAGATTACAATCATATCTTAGAATCACAAAGTCGTTTTTAGAAAGAAGTATTTCACTTTTATTTGACAAAATCTTAAATGAGATCTGAGCTGATTTGATATTTGTCACTACCGATATTCTTGTAAATTACTAACTAGAAGAAAATAAAGCAATTGCCATTATTATTCAAATGAGTGAGACATAAGTACCCGATTGGCAGGGCAAGAAGTAGTTTTGCCAGCTAAAGGCATATGATATTGGAGAGGAGACTGAAGATTTTGTCGTAGCTATCTAAAAGGAGATAAACTGGATATATAATACCAATAATTACATCTTAATCATCACG